TCAAAAAGTTGAAAATAGAGCTACCCTACGACCCAGCAATCGCACTACTAAAGATACAAATGTAGTTATCCGAAGGGGCACGTGCACCCGAATGTTTATAGCAGCAATGTCTACAATAGCCAAACTATGGAAAGAGCCTAGATGTTCATCAACAGATGAATGGATAAAGAAGATGTGGTATATATACACAATGGAATACTATGCAGCCATCAAAAGAAATGAAATCTTGCCATTTGCAATGATGTGGATGGAACTAGAGGGTATTATGCTGAGAGAAATAAGTCAATCAGAGAAAGACAATTATCATATGATCTCCCTGATATGAGGAATTTGAGAAGCAGAGTGGGGGGCTTGGGGGGTAGGGAAGGAAAAAAATGAAACAAGATGGGATCAGGAGGGAGACAAATCATAAGAGACTCAATCTCACAGAACAAACAGGGTTGCTGGAAGGTGGTGGGGGTAGGGGTAGGGTGGCTGGGTTATGGACGTTGGGGAGGGTATGTGATATGGTGAGTGCTGTGAAGTGTGTAAGCCTGATGATTCACAGACCTGTCCCGTGGGGCAAATAATACATTATATGTTAATAAAAATAATTTTTTAAAAAGTACATATGAAATAGCCTGTTAAATAGACCAGATGTTAGGAACAAACCAAGTCTCAATAAATTTAAAAACACTGAAATCATACAAAGCATCTGCTTTGATCACAATGGAATGAAACTAAAAATGAATAACAGAAGGAAAACTGGAAAACTGACAAATATGTGGAAAACAACCAATGGGTCAAAGAAGAAATCAGAAAAAGAAATATGTACAGATGAGTGAAACTAAAATACAACGTACAAAACTTATGAGATGCAGCAAAGGCAGTGCTCAGAGAGATACTTACAGGTGTGAAAGCCTACATTTAAAAGGAAGAAGGATCTCAAACAAATAACCTAACTTTACACCTTGATGAACCAGTAAAAGACCAAACTAAACCCAAAGCTAGAAGAAAGTAAACAAGACAGATTAAAGGCAGAGATAAATAAAACACAGAGTAGAAAAATAATAATCGACAAATCCAGAAGTTGGTTCTTTGATAATATCAACAAGCCTTTACCTAATGACAAAGAGAAACAAACAAACAAAAAACTTGTCAGAATTGAAAGTGAGGACACTACTACTGATGATAGAGAAATAAAAAGAATTACAAGATAATTCCATAACAGTTGTATGCCAAAAAATTAGATGAAATGGACATACACACAAGAAACACACGAATTAGCTAAACCGACTCAAGAAGAAATAGAAAACTTCCCGTAGATCTACAAAATATCAAAGTAGTAACCAAAAACCTCCCAACAAATTTAAGTCCAGTACCACCAAACATTTAAAGAATGAATACCAAACCTTCTCAAATTCTTCCAAAAAAACAGAAGACAAAGGAATACTTCCTAACTCATTTTGTGGGGCCAGCACTATCCTGACACCAAAACTAGATGAAGATATCACAAAAAAAGAAAACTATATACCAGTATTTGTTATGACTACAGATGCAGTCTGGTTGGCTCAGTCGGTTAAGCATCTGCCTTCAGCTCAGGTCATGATCCAAGAGTCCTGAGATTGAGCCCCACGTCAGGGTCTCTGCTTGGTGGGGAGTCTGTTTCTCCCTCTGCCCCTTTTGCTAGTGCTCTCTTTCTCACTTGAATAAATAAATAAAACCTTTAAAAATTGTTTAAAAAAAAAAAGATAATTGAACTGACATCGGAGCCACAGTTCAATGGTGGGTAGGATAGTGTGGCCTAAATCTAATCAGTTGATTGTATGGTTACAAAAATCAAAACCAAAACAAAACAAAAACCTATGATGTCTATAGGAATTAACTCCAGAGTTCATAGAATATTAAAAAGGTCCAAGAGGGGCACCTGGGTGGTTCAGTGGGTTAAAGCCTCTGCCTTCGGCCCATGTCATGATCCCAGGGTCCTGGGATCGAGCCCCACATCGGGCTCTCTGCTCAGCAGGGAGCCTGCTTCCCTTCCTCTCTCTCTGCCTGCTTCTTTGCCTACTTGTGATCTCTGTCTGTCAAATAATAAAATCTTAAAAAAAAAAAAAGGTCCAAGATACATTCAATATTTACTTGACATTTTCAGACCTAGAAAAATCTCAACAATATATGAGAAAAAGACAGTCAATAGACAACAACCCAAGAATAACACAAATGGTAGATGATTAGACAAAAATTGAAAGAGGGGTGCCTGGGTGGCTCAGTCGTTATGTGTCTGACTTCGGCTCAGGTCATCCCAGGTTCCTGGGATCGAGCCCCGCATCAGGCTCCCTGATTGGCTGGAAGCCTGCTTCTCCCTCTTCCACTCCCTCTGCTTGTATTCCCTCTCTCGCTGTGTCTCTCTCTGTGAAATAAATAAATAAAAATCTTCAAAAAAAAAAATTGAAAGAGAATACTGTAACCATGCTCTAAGAATAAGTGAAATAAATGGATAGGTAGAAAGTCTTAAGTCTTAAGTTAAGAAATATAAGAAATTTAAGATATTTTTAAAAATCAAATGGAAATTTTAGAAGTGAACACAATAACCAAAATACAAATTTCACTGGGTGTGCTTAAAGCAGAATGGAAATGGCAGAGGAAGGAGTTAGTGGACTTGAAGATAGATCAATAGAAATTATCCAATGTCAACAGAAGAACGTAATAAGATTGAAACAAAATGAATAGAGCCTTGGGGACTTTAGAGACAATACCAAAAGGTCTAATATTTGTATCACTGGATTCCCACAAAGAATGGAGTAAGAGTATGGCAAAAAACTTTTTGAAGAAACGATGGCTGACAACTTCCCCAAATTAGCAAAGGACATAAATTTACAGATTCAAGAAATTCAGTAAACTTCAAACAGAAGAAACAAATAAAAAAATGCCTATCAAGATACATCTTATCAAATTTCTGAAAACTAAAGATGAAGAAAAAAATATTGAGAGTACCTACAGAAAAATGATGCAACTATTTGAATGACTGAGGATTTCTCATCAGGTACCCAAGGAGCCCAGGAAGAAACAGCACAGTTTTCAAGTGTTAAGAGAAAATAACTGTCAGGGCACCCAGATGGCACAGCTGGTTAAGCATCTGACTCTTGGTTTCAGCTCAGGTTGTGACCTCAGGGTCAAGACTGAAACCTGCACTGGGCTCTACACCCAGCATGGACCTTGCTTCAGATTCTCTCTCCCTTTCCCTATGCCCCTCCTGCTCGTGTCCTCTCTCTCTCTCTCTCTCTCTCTCAAATAAATAAATCTCTAAAAGAAAAGAACTGTCAAACCCAGAATTCTATATCCAGTAAAAATACCCTTCATGAATGGGGGTTTAAAAAAAAAAAAAAAGACATTGTCAAAAAGAGGAAAACTGGAGTGCCTGGGTGGCTCAGTCAGTTAAGCATCCAGCTCTTGATTTCAGCTCAGGTCATGATTCCTGGGTCATGAGACCGAGCCCCGAATTGGGCTCTGCACTCAGCAGGGAGTCTGCTGGAGATTATCTCTGCCCCTTTTGCTCTAACCTGCCCCCCACGCTTCCTCCCCTCCACACTCTTTCTCTCAAATAAATAAATCTAAAAAAAAAACAAGAGGAAAACTAAGAGAACATATGGCTAGTAGATCTGCTCTGAAAGAAGTGCCAAAGGAAGTTCTTTAGACAGCAGGGAGAATATACTGGGAAAGAAACACAGAATTTCAAGGATAAAGGATGAGCAACAGAAATAGTAAATATCTTAAAAATTAAAAACAGAATTACCATATGACCCAGCCATCCCGCTTCTGGGTATATAGCCAAAGGAAATAAAAACATCATGTTGAAGAGATATCTGCACCCCCATGTTTATTACAACATTGGACTCTTGATTTCAGTTCGGGGGTGATCTCAGAGTCCTGAGATCTAGCCCTGCACCTGGCTCCTGGCTCAGGGGGAAGTCTGATGCAGATTCTCCTCTCCCTTTCCCCCCGCCTCCTGTGTTCACGCTTTGCCTCTCTCAAATAAATAAACCTTAAAAAAAAGCGGGGGGGGGTAAGTATACAGAGAGTTTAAATTATATCATTAACAAGATATATAATAGATACATGGTACCCAACTAAGAGAGAATTTTTGATCATTTATAGCATGCAAGGAACACTTACAACCTCTGACTCTGTATCAGAACTCAAAATCACAAGAAGTTCCAAAAAGCAGAACATACAGAGTTGTTCTCTGAATAAAATAAATACTAAAATTTGATATTCACCACAAAAGTACAGCCAAAAATTTATCAAACTGAAAATTTTAAAACACCTTTTTAAATTATTCTTGGATTAAAGAGGAAATTTAAAATGGAAACTACGAGCTAATTAGAAGTGGATAAAAACTAGAGCATTATTTTAAGAATGTGTCCTAAGCAGTCCTCAGAGAAAAATTTATAGCTTTAAATGCCTTCATTAGGAAACAAAGACTTAAATAAAGGATAACACAACACACAACAAATAAAATGAAACAAAAACTAGAGGTCAATTCTATTTATGAAAATAAAGGCAAAAATCTCCCCCCAGATAATAACTAAAGGAATCTAGGGGTTTATCAAAAGAGCAAAGCAACAGCAACATGACCATTAAAGGCACATCTCATGAATGTAAGGACAGTGAGCCCTGGGAAAAAATTGCTATCGTCAGTCACCACATTCATAGACTGAAGGAGAAAAACACCACATTCTAAAAGGAGAAATCTGTATGGCAAAAATGCAAAGTAAAAGACAAATGATAAGCCATGAAGAACTATTTGTAACTCAAATTTCAGAAAAAGGACTAATTTCCTGAAAATATGCTTTCTTATGTGCCCATTTTTTTAAACCAACAATTAATAGAAAAACATACAAAGTGTATGAAAAGTCAGTTCTCAGAAAAGCAAATGCAAATGGTTGTTATATATGCAAACAAACAAAAAGCAACCAAAAAAACCCCCGCCTGATTCACTTATAACTAGAGAAATGCAAATTAGGAACGCCCTGAGGGATTTATCTTTAAATACCATTCTCCAGTAAAAACCAGAGCTTCCTGGAGGAATATAGGGCTGGGATGGAGAGAATACAAAATGAACCTGAGGCATCTTATAGGGCCAGAAAATAAGGAAATGGGGAGGAGGAGAGGATGGGGGATGGGTACCCAGAAGCCCACCAGTAAGAGCTAATAAAGGCCAAAGATTCAACAATTTAACCAACAAAATCAAGCATGATAGTATTCAATTATAACCCAAAGAATAAAATAAAAAAATCAGCGCAGGAGAACAGAAAATATTCCTCACGCAGGAATGTAAAGGGAATTAGCAGCACCTTTCTTCATCCCATAGCAGACACTTCCTGGTGCCATCTGAGTGACAGGTTCTGGGCTGGAAGAGGACAGTCTCCCATGCAGCTCACAGCCTGTGGTGGAGGGACAGCAAACACAGGCATCCAGTCACCTCAAGCAGGGGCACCCCTCGGGTTCTCCTTGCCTCCCCCTGGGCCCTTTCAGCCACCCCAGCGAGTTCCCTTTCAGTAAAGTGAGATAGAGATCACTTGAAATAAAATGCAACCATTTTAAATGGAGCATTTGATGTGCTTTGACAAATGCGTATTTCTGCGCAACAATCACCCTCATGAAAATAAAAAACAGTTCCAGCGCTCCAGAGAGCTTTCTCCTGCCCCCAACCCAGGTCACCACTGATCCGACTTTGTCATCACAGCTGAGTTTCGCCTGTTCCAGAAATTCATAAAAATGGAATCATACAGCATGTACCCTTTTGAGCCTGGCTTTTTTCATTCATCATCATGTCTGCAAGATGCATCCCTACTGTTGCATCTGTCTGTGGTTTACTCCTGCTTCCTGCTGAGCACATTCCAGCGGCGGGAAGCCCGCAGTGAGTTCATACTCTCAGCTGTATTGTGCCATTGGGCGTTGTGCAGTTTGAGTAATTAAAAATAGAGCTTTGGGCCCCTGGGTGGCTCAGTGGGTTAAACCACTGCCTTCGGCTCAGGTCATGATCTCAGGGTCCTGGGATCGAGTCCTGCATCGGGCTCTCTGCTGGGCCAGGAGCCTGCTTCCTCTTCTCTCTGCCTGCCTCTCTGCCTGCTTGTGATCCTTGTCTGTCAAATAAATAAATAAAATCTTAAAAAAAAAAAAAATACAGCTTTGAGCCCCTGGGTGGCTCAGTGGGTTAAGCCTCTGCCTCAGGTCATGATCTCCCAGTTGTGGAATCGAGCACTGAGCCCCAAGCCCCACGTCAGGCTCGCTGCTCAGCGGGAAGCCTGCTTCCCCCTCTCTCTGCCTGCCTACCTGTGATATCTCTCTCTCTCTCTCTCTCTCTCTCTCTCTGTGTCAAATAAATAAATAAATCTTTGGGGGGGGGGGAATAGATCCTCGGGTCCCCTGCGGTGGCTCAGTCGGTTAAGCCTCTCCCTTTGGCTCAGGTCAGGATCCCAGGGTCCTGGGACTGAGTTCCACATCTGCTCTTTGCTCAGCAGGGAGCCCGCTCTTCCAGGCTTCTGCCCCTCCCCCGCCTTGTGCTCCAGCTCCTGCGCCCCCATGCACTCTCTCTCTCTCTCTGACAAATAAATAAATAAAATCTTAAAAAATAATAAAAAATAAATTAAAAAATAAAAATAGAGCCACTATGAACGTTCAGGTCCAAGCCTTCTGAAACACACGCGCTTTCATTTCCCTTGGGTAAATCCTTCCAAATAAAATGTCCAGGGCAGGGCACCTGGGTGGCTCAGTGGGTTAAGCCTCTGCCTTCAGCTCAGGTCATGATCTCAGTGTCCTAAGATCTAGTCCCGCATTGGGCTCTCTGCTGGGCAGGGAGCCTACTTCCTCCTCTCTCTCTGCCTGCCTCTCTACCTACTTGTGATCGCTCTCTGTCAAATAAATAAATAAAATCTTTAAAATAAAATAAAATGTCCAGGGCATATGGTATGTCTCTAACATTTTAAGAAACTGCCAAACCATCTTCCGCAGTGGGGGTCATCACTTCCACCCCCATCAGGGGTGTATGAGAATTCCTCTTCAGCACTTGAATGGGAGAGTCCCCTTTTCTGAAGCCATTTTAATAGGTATAAAATAGTATCTCACGGTGGCTCTAACTTGCACTCCTAGATGTCTAATAATATTGAATATAGTGTCAAGTGTTTACTGGACATTCATATATCTTCGTTGGATTGTCTGTTCAAAACTTTGGCCAATCAAAAAAAAAAATTGGGTTGTTTTCTACTTCTTAGTGAGTTAAAATTTTGAGCCAAATTAACACTGATTAGTATCAGGTTGTCTCTGTTCTAACCTTCACCTGGCCTTCTCCCAGGGGATCTAGAGTAAGATCCAAACACCAGGGTCTGGTTCTTTACCATCTGTCTTCTTCCCCTGGCCCTTTGCTCAGTCCTTTCTTCCACAAAGGCTCCTGGCAACCCTCAGAACCCGACATAACCAGGCAGACGCCTATTACCAAGAATCATCTCATTCAGGAGTCTCCGGACACACTGTTGACCCACTCCCCGCAAATTAAGGTGATGCATCCTTGCATCCTGCAAATGCAATCTTCCTAAGCACAGCTGTTGAATGAATAAATAAATGAATGAATGCCTCTTACCCAGCAGGAGGTCCCATCGAAGTCTTCTTTGAGAAAATGACACTGTGGGATATCCCAGAGTGAAGAGTCATCAGATAAGGAGGTGGAGAAGAGCATTCTGGGTAGCAGGGTCAGCAGGCTCCAAAGCCCTGGAGTGAGGAAGGAGCACAATTTGTTCAAGAAACTGTAAGAAGGCCTATGTGTGGGAGAGACAGGGAGCAGAGGACACCAAGAGATAACATTTTTAGTCTAACAAGACTCTGAGCAAGATGGGAATCTCCCCATCTCCCAAGGTTTGGGGGATAAGGGAAATGGGACTGATCCTGATTGAGGATTTAAGCATCCTTCTGGCTGCCAAGAGAGGAAGCAGAGAGGCCTCTTAAAGACATGTTTCCAACAGTCGTGGGAGGGGACGGGAGTATTCTGGGGCCTTCTAGAGGTCTTGGTGATGGTGAGAAGTGAACAGAGACAAAGAAGGCTTTAGGAGGTGAAGAGGTACGGGCCTTGGTGATGGACTGGTGGTGAGGGTGAGGGAGAACAAGGACAACCTCGGGTCTCAGATCTTGGGGGAGAAGGATGGCTGGCGGTGCCCTTCATTGGGGCCCAGGTGCCCTCTGGGAGTCCCCCAGGTATGAATGGGAAGAGGGAGCAGAAGGCATGCTGGGGCAGCCAGTACAGGAGGCTGGGCTGGCCAAAGATGGGAGGGGTGGCCAGGGGAGAAAGAGGGAGTGGGGTGGGGAGCTGACAGCTCCACGAAAAGCGCAGGAGGACGAAACAGGGGTCTTGCCGTTTGGGCGCCTGGCTTCCTGGGTCCTGGACATGAGCAAGGACACGGGTAGGAAGCTAGACGACGCACGAATGTACTCAAGCCTTCAGGGCAGGCAGAGAAGACTGGAAGCCCCGACGGGGCGTTCAGGGGACGCAAAAAGGTCTCGGAGCTCCGGGCCAGGGCTGTGCGGAGAGTGCGGGGGGTGTAAGGGGGCCTCAGGCCAGCCCCACGGACGCTCCCGCCCCGGGGGCCCCGGAGCAGCTGGGGCAACCTAGGCCGGAGGGGAGGAAGGGAGGAGGAGGAGAGCGAGCGGAAGAAGAGAGCTGGGTCGCTCGGAGCGCGAGACTGCTAAGGAGGGGAGGAGGGGACGAGGCAGGAGGGGCGGGGCGGGGCGGGGGCGGGCCGGTGGGGGATGCGCCCCCGCTCCTGGGTCTCGCCTTTTTCTCCTTCCGCACAGCCCGGGTTTCCGCTTCCCTCCCGGCCGCGGGGTGAAGGAGCGGGGCGCGCCTCGGTCCCTGCCGCCGCCGCCGCCATGTGGCCACCAGACCAGGAGCCCGACCCGGACCCGGACCCGGCCTCGGCGCGCGCCGGCCGCTCTCAGCCCGGCGCGGCGATGCCGGGGCTCCGCGCCCTCCTGCCGGCGCGCGCCTTCCTCTGCTCGCTCAAAGGCCGCCTCCTGCTGGCCGAGTCGGTGAGTGCGGCGCGGGGCCCGGGCATGGAACTGCAGAGGCGCTGTCGGGACTCCCGGGCCCCGCCGAGCCCTCGGAGGCGCGGAAGACGGGCGGAGCTGGGAGCACTTCCCGAGGCGTCGGGGGGCGCCGAAGCTCTGAACGCGGGAGGCAGAGACGAGGCGGAGCCCGAACCCAGGCCCTTCGGGCTCCCTAACCCAACAGTGGGGGCTGCTCGGGAAGCCTGAGGCCGGGGCCTGCCAAGGCGACGGGCAGGCCCCTGGAAACTCATCCCGGCGCTGTGTGACCTCGGGCGCCTCCGCCGTCTCTGGGCCCCCGGAACGGGCTGCGGCCCCGCGTCTTCTGGCATCCGTCTTGGGTGCTCCGCTCCCCAAACCCTCCCGCCATTCCTGGCTGCGCCCCGGGAGAAATCAGCCGGCGCGGTGTTTCACGACGCCCGAGTCGGGGTCAGGGTGGGCTCTCCGCGCCCCTGCCTGCTTTCCTGGGCGCAGGGAGGGCCGGCCGGGTCTCGAGCTGCAGGGCGGAGGCCGGGGTGGACTCCGGCCAGCCAAGACGGGGAACAGCGGGAAGTGGGAAGGGGACCCCCGGGATTGGGTGAGGCCCGGGCCGCACAGTGCGGGGTGTGCAGGCCGACCCCTCCCCCCGGGTGCAGGGGGCGGGGGCAGGAGCCCAGCGGGGTGACTTCATCCCCCTCCTCCCCTCCCCTGCTCAGATCCAGCCGCCCCGCCCCCGCCAAGCTCCTTCCTCCTTCCCGCAACCCCCACCCGGGCCCGTCAGGCCTTTGTCTTGGGGACACTACGAGAACTCCCGCACCATCCGCGGGTGGGGCGGGGGCTTGGTGCTGGGCCTCTGTGCAGGGAAGGGAACGAAGTGGCCCTGCGCGGGGAAGGCGAGATAAGGAGCAGCTCTTGTTACTTAGATCCCCGGCAGTTTGGCTGTCCCTCTTGTTATTCCCACTTTGCAGACAAGAAGGCTGAGGCCAGGACGTCTAGGGAATTTGACAGGATTTGAGGGTCAAGTGAGGGAAGGATGAGAGTGGGGATCAGAGGAAGGAGGCTTCTGCCCCAGACCTCTTTTTCCTACTGCCCAGGGCAGATGGCAAGAGGCCTTCCTGCCACTTCTTCTGCCCCTGGGGTCAGCCCAGAGGTCACCAGCCCAACTCTCAAGTGAGGCACCAAGGGCCCAGGACTCAGCCCATACTCCAGGGAGTCGCCTCTCGTTGGCACCCCAGTCCCAGCCTGGAGGTGGATGGGAGCCACTTTTGCAGAGAAGCCTTAAATCCACAGGCCAGTGAGGGACACCAACCCCAACTCCGCTCCAGCCAGCCTCAGACGAGGCCCTTGGTGTAGCTGGGTGTCAGGAATCCAGATCTAGGAGGATGAAGAAGTAGGGAGGAAGAACTGGTTAGAGTTGATCACGAGGGGAGCCACTCTGGTCAATCTTGCCTCCCTCTGGTCACCTCTCGCTGCCTCCAGGCCCAAGGAAATGGGGAGGCTGACGGACACGAAAAGGGAGGAAGTAGCCACCAGGAATCAGGGAATGAGGAAACAGGAATGAAGAGGGGGCTGCCCAGAATCTGGCTTTGGAGGGCGGTGGACAGGAAGGGGAGGGACACAAGAATAGGACTTGCAGCAGGAGCTATGGACGGGGTGGGTCAGGGTCTCATGGCCTTGTTTTCCTGGGAGGCCCCTCTCTGTGCCTTAATTTCCCATCTGTTCAGGTTGAACCCAGCTACTTCCCTGGCCCTGTTCAAGGCAGATGTGGGTGCCTTGGGGACTCCCTGGGATCTCTGCAGCTCATTTGTCTGAAGCAGCCACAGCGTTTCCTGTGGGGCATCTCAGTGTCCCTACAGGGCCCCCTGGGCCCCACTCCAAGCTACTCAGCCATGGACATGCTCAAACCCTGCCCAGCCATAGTGACAGAAATCAAGACAGATAAAGGCCAGCACCCATAGGGCAGGGTTCCCTCAGAACTACAGGTGTGTGGTCAGCCAGCCTTGGGTTCAAATTCCCATGCCTTCTTATTGGCCACATGACACTGAGCAACTCACTTCACCTGTCTGTCCCTCAGTCTTCTGATCTGTGAGGTGGGCTGTGGGCAGCACCCGTGTGTGGGTGGTTGTGAGGATGCCCAAGCCTCAGGCCCTGGCCAGGGAAACAGCGCCTCCTATGGTCTGCAGACCTGGCCAGGGGGCCTCAGCATCTTCGGGCATCGGTTCCCACCCACAGCAGGTAGACAGGGCTGAGGAGACGGTGATCCTTATTCCTTAGTGCGGCGTGCACTGAAGCGGCAGGGTCAACGCTCCCCCTCCTGGAGGTTTTTTCTTCGTATGAACTGGCAGACAGAAAACCCAAAGAATTAAACCGTCAACGCCCACATAGCCACCGCCTAGACTGTACAGTTGTTAACCTGCTGCCGGCTTTGCTTTCTCACGCATCTTATCCTTCTGTCTGTCCACCTGTTAGGTTTTCGTGCAGATTAAATTACCTGCATCAGTACATTTCAACTCTGAGCACTTCATCATGCATATCATTAAATTCAAGATTTGTATATTGTTTCTCATTCTCGGGAGTTGGGTGTCATTTGTTGAAGTGGTTCCTGCTTCATGAGCTGCCTCTGAGACTGCTTGGGTTTGATTTGCCCTGTCGTGCACCATCTAAGTTGGGTGGATTCTGCCATAGAGTCTGCTGGAGTGGGGGGCTGGGTAAGCAGCCGCAGAAGGCAGCCTCCTGGGAGGCTGGATACACATGGGAAGCTGGGGCGTCCTGACTGGGTCCTGACAGGGCACAGGCACGGGAATCAGGGTGCAGACCTGTGTCCAGAGGCCTCGAGGGAAGCAAGCATGTGGGCCAGGGCCCCATGATGGGGTTCTAATCCTGGCAGCTGCAGGATTGTGGGCAGGTCGCCTCCCCTGCTGGAGCGAGTGACCTCTGGCCCTGGCTGCAGAGCCCAGGGCCAGGGGTTGTAAAAAAAAGGTTCTGATTTTTCCTCCCGTCCCCTCCAGGGTCTCTCATTCATCACCTTTGTCTGCTATGTGGCGTCCTCTGCATCCGCCTTCCTCGCAGCGCCTCTGCTGGAGTTCCTGCTGGCCCTCTACTTCCTCTTTGCGGATGCGATGCAGCTGAATGACAAGTGGCAGGGCTTGTGCTGGCCCATGATGGTGAGGGCTGGGCCCAGGAGGAAGAGGCTGGCTGCATTTTGACCCTCATCCTTTCTTCAATGCGCCGGAGGGGCTCTTTACAGTTGGTTGGAGCCGGGACTCCCCACTCAGCAGCCACCTGACCCAGAGGAGGTTGTCTTACCTCTAGGAGGTCTCTGGATGAGGCGGAGAACCCCAGCTGACATCCTGGCCACTGGCCACCAGGTGGCGCTGGTGCTCCCAGCCGGGCCGGCCGGAATGAGCCTCGGCCACAGGAATTCAAGCCATTTCCACAAGAGCAGGACAGGTTAAATGAGGACTTGCGGGGTTTAGCCAGACCCCAGCCATCTGGCAGCTTGTCTGGTCACCCAGGAGGCCCCAGAGCCCCACCTCAAACTTTGCTGTTTGAGAAGGGACAGAAGGGCTGCGAGTGAACCCTAGTTCCTTGGCTTCATATCCAATGTGCTTCCTGATGGGCTGCACCCTGTGTCCCCATTTTAGGAACAGGCGAGCAGAAACCATGATACGTAAACGTCTCTGCCACAAGTATGTGGCACAGCGAGGCCCAAGGCCAGATCTCCCCACTGGAGAGCCAGCAAGAAGCAAGTGACCAGGTTTCCCACATCTTTCTCATCAAATAGGGAGATCTGCGTGTGGGCCCAGCCACAGGGCAAACTGCAGGCTGGCCCACGTCCTGTTGTCCACTGGGCAGGGGATGGCCAGCTGGACCCAGAACGGGGCAGCCCAGCTGCTGGAAGCCTCCAGGGGCACCCGGGCAGGGGCAGGAATGGGGGTGGGAGAAGGACTAGGGAGTGCAGGGTGGGGCCATGACAGGGCGGGAGCCCCAGGGGTGCCAGACCTGCAGGGCACCGGGTGTGTATCCAGCCTGCGGGGCCCATTGTCCCCTGCGAACAGTGGGTTCCAGCCTCGTTCCTGCCACCTGGTAGCCTTCTGAGCCCATGCCCCTCTCTGGGCTCCCAGCCCTGCTCCAGAGCCCAAAGCTGTGCTCCACTCCTGGGAGCCCAGGGCAGTGACCACGCCCACCTCTCCCCAGGACTTCCTGCGCTGTGTCACAGCCGCTCTCATCTACTTCGCCATCTCCATCACAGCTGTCGCCAAGTACTCGGATGGGGCTTCCAAAGCAGCTGGGGTGAGTAGCCACCCTAGCCCTGGAGGGGGTTGCCCAGCAATGCCCCCTCAAGTTCACCCCAGCCCTGATGGAACCCCAGATGCCCCTTAGACACTCAACGTCTGGGGCAGAGTCTGTGCCCACAGGGGATCTCAGAGATTCCAAACTCCTCTTACTGGAGACTTAATCTGCCTCAAGTTTTGAAGGCTGTTTGCCGAGCCAAGGTAACAGCTCATTTTCCTTCTTGTTGGTACCGGGAGGAGTGCGTTTGCTATCTGAGCTACGTATCCGAGCATATCGAGCAGGGTGGCAGCTTCTCCGCTTCTCCTGGGCTCTTGGACTGGGGACTCCCAGCTTCTGATGATGGGTCCCATCCATCCTGTCCCCTGTCTCACAGGTGTTTGGCTTCTTTGCCACCATCGTGTTTGCAATCGACTTCTACCTGATCTTTAATGACGTGGCCAAATTCCTCAAACAAGGGGACTCCGCAGAAGAGAACACAGCCGATAAGGCAGAAGGTGGGTGGCCACCCTGTGGGTTTTCACCTGGGACCCTGACTTCTCAACCCAGGACTGTTGCTGGGGACCTGGGGACCCTGTTCTCCCTTAGGGATACTTGACCAATTGAGGTTGGAGGAGCATTCCCTCTCTCCCAATATGGGCAGGAAATGGGTTCCCAGCCTGGTTCTCCTGTCCCTTTATGGGGCATGGATCATAAAGTGGGCTGGGCTGGCTCCCCAGGGCCTCGGGCTTTCCAGGAAAGGCATGCTGAGGGCAGGCCTGGCACCTCCTGCTGACAAGACCTTCCCTGGTGAGCCCCCAAGGCAGCCAGAGCGGCCACCTACCCTGAAACCCAGGCACCTGCCCAGTTTCACCAGGCTGTGGCTCAGGGGCCAGAGAACCAGGCTCTCATCGTTATCCGCAGCACCTGGGCAAGCTCAGGTTTATGAGCCAGCAGAAACCACCTTCTGCTAAGAATGGATGAGGCTCATCTCCTCCCATCCTGTACTTCAGCCACACCTAGGGTCGCTGTCCCTAGACATTTTCCTTAGGCCTTTGTGACATACTCATTCCCTGCCCTGGGTGTTTCTAGACCACTAGCCCAGTAAGCAAGTAGGAAGTGACAGTGGAGACACGTGTTTGAGTATTGTGGGCTTTGAGACTTGGAGATGGACGTATGATTTTTTTTTTTGATGTAAAATGATTCCTAGCTTATGTGTTAGAATACAGCAAGCCCACCAGATCAGATCAGTCTAACCTTCGGGACAGGGCCAAGGGAGTCAGGGTTTACAGAGGCTCTCGGAGCTCATCCATGACCCGGCAACAGTGTGAGGACAAACTGGGGCTCAAGAGACAGAGTTGGCCGGTGAAGGGGTGTCCCTCCCTGAAATTAGCAACTGGCAGTGGGGCTGAGGCTGGAGGGTTAGCGACTTGGGTGCTTTTCCTTCCTGGAGTGGGGGTTCCAGAAGACTCTAGAAAGTACTATTCAATATTGGACTTCAGGAACCCTTGACTCAAACTTTAAATAGGCCCTTAATGTCATAAAATGTGTCTGGTTACCATATAAAATTAGGACTGGGGGCAAGGGGGACTCAAACTGTAAGATGGCTAAAAAGCAGCTTCCTGATTTTCTAGTATATTTTACTTTCTTGTGCCAGAAAAGAGCGGACCCCACCCTGCCCTGCTGAATTGCATGGTAGGGTTGAGTTTGGTGAGTTTTCATGCTGACAGCCCCAGCCCACTCACGGCCCAGGGGAGACTGGGGAGGGCCTGAAGCAGGAGCATGTGGGCTCCCCGTTCCATGTGGCCACATCCTGGAGGTGACAGCAGCTGCCCCGGCAGGGTTGGGTCCCAGGCCCCAGGCCCCAGGCCAGCCCTCCTGCCAAGCTGCCACCACCAACAGCATAGTCCACGCGGGAGGGGTCTGAGCCTGGGGCTCCAGCCAACAGCCAGAAACCCAGGCAGTCTCCCCAAAAACAACTTCCAGGCCCCACTGGCCTACAAACTCCTGCCAAGCATCCCCTTTGCTTTGCTTTCAGAAGAGAATTCTGACTCTGACTCTGACTGAAGCCCTGCCCCGCCCCAACCACCCGAGCCCCGCAGACCCCTACAGTCGTGCCTTCTGGCCGGGTGCAGTCAAGACACCACATGCGCTGGGAGAGAGGCGGTGACTTCTCCAGCAGCAGTGGGAGCTGCTGACGGAGCCGGCCTCCTCATGGCTCCGAGGTGACATGCCCAAGCCCGGCCTACCCAACAGCACCCCTCGGTTGAGCAGCATCTAATAACCACTGCACACACGGGGGCATCGTGAATAGTCTGCCATGCCTCCTCATTTCTGCCTCACAGACCTTAAGCCTTGTACACTCTCTGCCAAAAATAAGCAAAAATAAGGGGACAGAGCTGATGGAGCCTTGTCACCTCCGTCACCTGCAGCGGGGAGAGGGGGTAAAAGTAGGACCAAAGCCACCAGAGGGCCAACCTGCTAGGCCCCAGGGATTTTTGGCTGCATTTGGTGTCCCACTCACGCCAGGCACTTTGTCGAGAATGATCCTTGCAAGATTCTTTTGTTCCAGGAGCACCAGTTCCCTCTTCGTTTTTGAAGCAGGAAGAAAACCGACCTTTGCTCTCTCCTCTAGGAGCGAGCAGGTCACAGTGCCCAGAACAGGCACCTCACACGCTGGGGGGGGCCATGTCTTCTCCGGAGGACCTGACAGTTGTAGATCAGCTTACCAGGTCCAAGATCCGGATACCTAACCATGAAATAACTGACGGTTTCTGGGGGGCTGGGCAGGCCCGGCCAAACCCTCTTTCCCGGGGGCCCGCCAGCCGGCGAAGGGCTCTCGGGCACTCAGGATGATAGTCTCTCGACACCAGAGCAGGTCTCCTGACTGCCTTTCGAGAGGTGAGATGTGCCTTCTGCGTTCACCTGAGGATATGTGCTGTGTATGTTCAATGGGATTTTGTAACTTTATGTAATTTTTTTTTCTTTTTTTACACAAAAGTAGCTTTTTAAATGGCATTTCCTCTGACCCAAGAGGCCTCATGAATGAGCCAGATCTGGACCCATGTCTTGGGCATTTGTAATCTTTGTTCTTCTCTTGCATATGAAAAAAGCCATAATGGATTAAACCAGACTGACTGTGCTTGGACTGTATGTGTTTGAAAACTCCTCACACCACCCAGAGCAGTGCAGTCCAGTGTCCTATTCAGCACAGATGGCTCCTGTCGATGGTGAGTCCGACAGCTCCGGGGCTCAGCTCCACAGCTCACACCGCCGACACGTCTGACACATGTGCTCTCCCTCACTCCTCACACAGTCCTGGTTCACAGTGCAGGAAACCGAAAGAAGGTTCTGGAGCTTGCCTTGGTCCCCGGAGCCCCTTTGAAGGGGCCCCGGGCCTTCTCACTTAGTGTCAGCGTAACGACCCACAGCGCCTCTGAGGCAGCCACAACCTGGGGCTCTTGTGGTTTGGAAACTGGTTGCACACGGGACCTCAGAGTTGAAGCCTGGGAGGATGCTGGGTCAGCATCTGGCCTAGGCCTTCTGCTCCAGCTTTTGCACACGTTTGAAAACCTGTCTGAAAGTTGGCGTGCAGATGCCGAGAGGCGTGTATGGTGGGAATTTCTGCCCCACCTTGCCTGTGCAGGTAAGCCAGCCTCGCTGCCTGTCGACACCCACACCATGGCCCCTCTCGTGGACGCGGACTGTGTTCCGCCTCCACCTCCGAGGCCTGTTTCAGGAACTGGGTCCACAGCCTTTGAAGGTACTGAGAAGTGAGAGTGAGGACAGAGACAATGCCACTTTTATGTGTCCATTTATTAAACAAGTACTCCTTCATGACAATTTAATACAATATTTATTAGCGATTAGTGTTGAGAAAATTATTTCCCTCTACATACAAAAATACAGATTTGAACACTATGAAAACAATCAGAACAAGTACCATGAAAAATAGGTCCTTCAAAAGAAATAAAGGGGCAAAATTGAGGGCAATGTGAGGCTCTGTCTGCTGTCAGGGACAAACCGCCTGGAGCAAAGGCTTTGGGGCGCCAAAACCACTCCAAATGGATAGAGTCAAACCCACAAGCCAAAGTCTGAGAAGCCAGGAAACCCACCAACAGCATACACCGTCGTGTGCCACATGGCACCACCTCAGAATGCCCACAGCTGTGTCCAAACTAGCAAAGGAAATAGATTTTAAGAAGCAAAATGTAAAATGTTAACATTGCTCCCCAAAGTACCACCGGGCCAAGTACCAATGAATAAAATCATATTAGAGTTATTAGCCATCTGACTTGACGTCCTTTGTTAAAATAATTACATATTCTGACCCTTCAAAGGGACAAAAGAGAAGCTATAATCTTACGTTTCCATAAATCCATTCCTTCATGTTGCAACGGCTCAGCTAGTTTACTCAAGAATTTTCTTGACCAGACAGAACCCACATCCTACAGGGGTGGGAAAGCCAAAGGAGCAGCTAGAGTGTAGCAAGTCTCGATTTCGTGAAGCTCCTCGCAGCAGGACATCTATTTTGTCCAGGCAAAAAATCAGAAAGGGCCATGGAGTCCACCCCACACATCCGTAAACCAATGTGAGGTCCGAGGAGAAGGCCAGCCAGTGGAGGCTGCGCGGGCAGCCTGTCTCCCGCGGGCAGAGGGAAGCCAGCAGCAGGGCAGGAGCACTGGCCCGAGCCGGTGCTGGAAGAAATCAGGCCCGAGAAGGCCCTCAGCCTCACCAGCCCCCAACAATGGGGCTCTTCGCTGTTTTGGACCCAAAGAGGGGGCAGTCAGCACCACGGGTATCCATCCTTTATGAAACCACTTTCTCCTTTCTGCTTGAGGTGAGCAGTGGCTCTCTAACTGACCAAGTGGTTTAAAAATGCCAGATGCAGTTATACTGATTAATAATCATTTCACAGAAATATACTCTTACTCTCAGACTTGAAATAAGCAATAAGTTGCTGGGGAGAGAAAGCAGCAGAGAGGAGACAGGAATAGCCAAGGTGTTTTGTTTTTTTTTTCTTTTTTAAAATACATAATGAAGTTTAAAGGGATAATGGCCAAACCTCAAAACCATCATTGCTAAAAGCAATATTAAAAGGACACAATCTAAAATCATGCTACAAAAATAGTGTCATCTGGTTTAACTAAATGTACATCTTTTTTTTCAATTCCATGATTGACAAGTGTTTATGTGACTGACACACGGAAGGCACCGAAGGTGAAGTGATTATTATTTGTCTTAAAATATACAAAGACAGAATTACCTACTTTGTGGGGAGGGGGAAACACATACAGTCATACCTGTAATAAATAGTTAAGTGTTTTTGCCACGGGTTCCTGAACCCCTACAAACTTCAACATATACAAATAGTTTCAATCCCTACAGTCGCTTCGAGGGAACATCAAAATCAAGTTATTAAAAGCACTGGTTTTATCCACATACGTCAGTTTCATCATGAGGCAGGACTGGAAAACTCATTTTGGGTTACAGAGTGGAAGCGCTGGAAGTAGGCAGCCCCCATGTGGGTCTAGACCGGCCTGGGGGTCCATGCAGGCCTTCTGCCCTCGTCCTCCCCCAGCCCTTGGGTCAGCCAGTTCTCTCTTCAAGCCCTGATGATTTGCCTTCCTCCGTTCTCTAGAGAATGGAACAGAGTTTCAAAACTTGCAAAACCTATTCTGGAAAAGGCAGGAAAGCAAAATGGCCCACAGAGGGAGGCAGTCATCTGTTAGACCTGGCCCTGCCTGGCCTGGGTACCAGCACCGCCCCCCCAACCTAGCGTCTTCACTTCCTGGTTAAACAAAATGCTTCCCACCAGGGTTTGGCATAGTCCTCCAGAGACGACTCAGATTTGACCCATTCAGACTATTACCAAGTCCCATACAAACCAGTCCCTGAATCAACCTGTCACACCTCCTCTCCTCAGAGGCTCAATTCGGAAGAGAAACTTTGGGCCGAGCCCTAATCCCACCAACAGAGCTCACTCAGGTCCTCTGAGACAAGTTCATTAGAACCAGGAAAGTTCTGAGAGCTCCCTACAAGCCAGGCTTTTAACCCCTTAATGAAGGCTCTCTCCTCTCTGGCCTTTGTGTACAATGCATCCCAAAGAAAACAGGCCACTCCCAGGAGTCTAATAAGCAAGTCACCCAAATTAATGTCCTGGCATAAAAATGTAGACAAAAAAACTAACCCTATAAAAATGATGCACTATTAAAGGGTCCATAATCTAAGTTTTACTTTAGGCAAGTTGCCACTGATTCAAGCTCAGTGGGCTTATAGGTAACTTTTTTCTGTACTGTTGATGGAATAAGAAAAACTAGAAAGGCGGGGGGGGAATCCCCAAGGTTGGGAAATGACATCCAAATGGAATAAAAATGTAATCTAGACCAAAGAAGGAAAAACACATCAGGACCCATTGCTCTGTTTCAAGCCTAGGAGTGTATAAATGCCACTTACAGGTGTAAGGAAAAGTCAACCGGAACATTCATTTTCAGAAGGAAATTCCCGATCGAACAGGTATTGAGGGTGTTTTCTGTCAGAGATGGTTTCTAAAGAAAAGCAAGGGACAGGGTCAAATATTTCAAATTACCTTTTCAACCAGACAGTTCTTATGATCTCAGTAATATCTGCTGAGGAGAGAGGAAACACAAGATTTTATGAAGAGCCAGGAAGATTTACAAAGCTCAAGGCGGGCAGCGTCAGGGCTGTGTTCCCTCCAGGCCCGCACACCGAAATCTGAGGCACCCCGTCCAGACTCAAGAGACACCCAGAACCCATGCAGAGCACCAGGGCGGTCCCGTCCCCACATCCAGCTCTCACTCTTAGGCTGATTCCAAACACAAGACCTCATTTTTTCCAAAGCAAGAGGATAGGAAGGTAGGTCACCAAGTACATTTTTTCCAAATGGCCCAGGTCGGTCACCATGTGTGGTGTGATGAAGGGTCCCCCAGTACACAGCTGGGTGTGCTGAGCCCCTCCCTCCTCTCACTGCCCAAACTGGCCCCGCCCCCTGCTCCCACCTCTCCAGGTCATTGCCTAGCTGGTCCTCAGAGTGGGTGCTTGCTGATAAGGTAAGAAACACTCAAAGACAGAACCCCTGGGTTCTGTAAAGTTCACTAGGAACTAAAAAAGCGTCTGGGACCTCACAAGCTCATGGCAATCCCTGGGGCAAGAAGCAACTTTTTATTTTGCTGGAGAGAATCAAGCGGCAGAAGCCTTAAGTCTAGAAAGTGTTTTTTGTTTTGTTTTGTTTTGCCTTTCGCTACCTGTTTAATGTCATTATTTTCCTATAAACAAGATAGGGAGAAAACAACAGGCAGCAGCAAATGACTTCACGGTTGCTTGGTTTTGAACACGGAGGCATGATGGGGACCACTTAA